TTTGGATGTTAGGTAGAATTGAGGAACTCCATGCTATTTAGAACATTAAAATCCTCTTTCCTTGAACTTGAAGGTGTATAGCAGTTTCATCAGTAATTGCTAAAACCTAGAAACAAACCAAACACCCACAAGTGGGGAATACATAAATCATGGTATATCCTTGCAATAATACAATATTCGGCAATAAAAAGGAACTACAGAAAAAAACATGAATGAATCTCAAAAGCGTTATGCTAAAAGAAACAAGACACGAAAGGCTAGACACTCTGATTCTATTTATATGACATTCTGGAAATGGCATAACTCGCAGGAATTAAAAAAAAAAATCAGGTCAGCAATTGCCAGAAAGAGAGGAAGGGAGAGGATGTTGGCTACAAAGGAGCTTGACAAAGGAACTGTGGGGGGCAATGGAAATGTTTTTTATATTGATGTGAAAAGGCATTATGTTTGAGACCTCATAGAACAGTACACCTTAAAAGGGTGAATGTAACTTAACCTAAATCACACCTCAAGAAATCCGCTGTATCCGACCCACTACCAAAAGAAACCCTTCCCTCTTCGAGTGCCCAAAAAAGACCCGTGCAGCGGTCCAAAGCGCGCCCCACAAAGACCGCCCGCCCGGCGCTCAGCCGGACCAGCGTCCGCCAGCCTCGGGAGCAGGAGGGTAGCGGGGGAGGGCTGGGAAAGATGCTTTGGGCGGGAAAGGAAGCCGGGGCCGCGTCCTCACCTCCAGACTAGATGGAGGCAAAGCCCTCACCTAATAGCAGCTAAAGGCAGCGAAGGGGACCTTCAGACGCCACCGTGATTCCCCCTGCTTTGAGCCCAACATTCACCAGGGGTTCTTACCGATGTTCCCTTCGATGGAGATTTTCTTGATGCGGGTACCCTCGGAGCTAGTGGAGGGAGATGGGCAGTTTCTCTTGGGCGGGGTGGCCATTCTTGGAATTTGGCTGCCCCAAATGCTTCGGGCAAGGAGGAGAGCACAGATGCGCGCACGAACCGGAACTCGCTCAGACCTGACCCAGTTAGGTTTCCCCCGCCGGCGGGTCCCTAAGTTTGACTTTCGCGCGCAGAGGCAGCTGCCGACGGGGGCGGGCCAGTAGGGTGGCTCCGCCCCCAAGCCCTCTACCGTCCCCTCGGCCCTCTCCCACCTCCGGTGCGGTCCACTGCGTACGTCACGACGGGTCACGCGGTGCCGCGCGTGCGGCGTCGTGCGGGAGCGATTCCAAAACCTGGGGGGAGGGGAGAAGGGGTCCGGGGACGTCGGGCCAAGGAGGGCTAAGAGCGGGCCTGTAGTGGGAGAATTCACGTGCTTCTCCGAGTGGCTTCTGGGAATAAACCGAAGCGTCAGGACAAAATTAGACTTGAAAGTTTTAACTCGTTAGGGGAGAAAAATCTGTGGTGTAAAGTCAAATGTTTACCCTCTGTTATCCTGTAAGACCCATCAGCAAAGGCTTTTAGGAAATGCATTGCCCTTACTAGGCAGTTTTTTATAAGCGCTTTTCTTTTTTTTCCCCACAACTTGAATGTTTATTGTATACTTATATACAATATATACCTATAGGCATATATACATGGGTTATTATAGAAACACATTGGTTAAGTCTAAGCTCTTTTCGAGTTAACTAGTGATCCAGTGCTAGATCCTGTTATTATCCCCATTTGCCATTGAGGAAGCAGGCACCCAGAAACTGTTTCGTGTCCTGAAATGGGCACATGGAACTGGGATTAGAATTTGGGTAGTCAGACACCATTCTCAGAAAGCCTTTCCTGAGATTCCATACCCCTCTCCATCTGAATTGGATGCCCTCAGTGCTGTGTAGGGAACCGCAAGACTAGGTAGGTTTCTTTTAAGCATGACAATGGCATAATTAACTTTTGACTCCATCATCTGGCACAGTTAAAACACGTATGTTGATTTTAGGATGTCTATTTGTGTGCCATGTACTCTGCGGAAGCTAATCTAGCTGGGGACAACTAGAGTTGTTCATTTTTAGGATGGGTTATACCAGGTTATTACGCTTCCTGGAAGTAATCAAATTCAAATCGTCTACAGAAATCAAAAGGTTAGTTTTAACCTTGCAGCTATGGTCAGACCCAAAATGCATTTGAAAGCAGAGCCAGAAGAAGGGGAGAGTGGATGGTAACTCCATTCTCAAAACTAAAGAGCAGAGATTAAAAGAAGTCCATGGAGGAACTCTGGAAAACAGCAAAAATTCTCCTTTGTAACTCCCTTATGTAATTTTTTAAAAAGCTGTTTCCTTTTAATATTTTTATTTTATTTTTATGTGGTGCCAAGGATTGAACCCAGTGCCTCACGCATGCTGGGCGAGCACTCTACCTCTGAGCCACAACTCCAGCCTCACTTCCCTGTATAATCTTGCTATGCCTTTATTTTATTTTCATTTATCTTTTCACAGTGGTTAGCTACTAGAGCCTTGAAGCTGAAAAGTAGCTGTCATCAAAGTATGGCAATGAAGTTGAGGAAAAGGTAATGGGGAAGCTACCAAGTGTCATATTCCACACCCAAACTTCGGGGGAACATACGAAATAATGAGTATTCACAGCTACTGAGAAAATAAGGCAAGGTGAGCTTCCAAAATCTTCAATAGGAGAAAACAACTTAAGTTCCATATGGATCAGATGGAGGGATGAGGAGAAGAAGTCTCCAAGTGTGGTTTCCACACAAACGCAGTATGGTGCAGTATTTGAGTTTAAGCACTGGAAAAAAAAAATTAAAAAACTGTTTTCACATTCTAGCTTTGCTAGTTTCCTACAGTGAGAATTTGAGTTCCTGTAAGTTTAAAAGTATACTTCAAAAATATAAACGAAGTAAATGGAAGAAATAGGGAATCTCTCTTAGCAATGAGTTCAACATAATTTCCCATTTTCTTGAATATCTTATGGATAGCCAAGAAGAGACCTGAGAAAAGCACTTTTCAAGACAACTTCTTGATATTGGTTCATAATACCTTATCTGAAACCCTTGCAGCCAGATGTTTTGGAATTCAAAATTTTTAGAAAAGACATTCAAAATTTCCAAGTTCAAAATTTTACAAAAGAAATAGTGCATATTTTGTATATAAATAACTACCCCCACCCCACTATAGGGGTGTTAAGTCAAAAGCACTAATAATTATTTGCAGTGATACATAGTTTTCACAGTGATATATAGTTTTAAGAAGGAAGAAGACTGTTAACTTTGTGATAGATGCACTCTGAGTAAATGGTTTTTGTTTTCCTAATTCAAGAAAATACTTTCCATTTTCAGAGTTTTGGAGATTTTGGAACTTCAAAGAGTTGAAATAGGACACTGAGCATGAAGCCACTTAGGAATGTACTACCATTGTATCCCTGAACTTGCCAGAAATTTTACTACTACTTCAATTTGGGAATTTGTTTCTCCTATGGGAATTTTAGTGTAACTAAAAGAGAGAAAACCTGTGTGCCTGTAGTCCCAGCTACTCATGATATAAGCAGGAAGATCACTTAAGCTCAGACGTTCACAGCTGGTCTGGTTAACAGTAAGACCTTGTCAGGAAGGAAGAAAGGAAGAAGGGAGGGAGGAAGGGAAGGAAAGACAGGAGGCAGGATTTAACTGACGACTTAGAAAATGAGAGCAAAGGCAGAAAAAATAAAAGGTCCTGAATACTGATCTTAAGTAGTAGCTATAAAACCCATGGAATTGCCCATACCATCCCAACTACTTCTATAAAAGAATGTTTATCAACTAAGCTTCATTATAAATTTCACTTGTAATCTTCTCAATTGCCTAGAAACAGAGATACAGAAGCCATCTTTAAAAAAAGGAGCAGGGAAGTCAGGGTTTTCTAAATAATCTGACATGTGAAAGTATAATAGCATCTAAGAATATAGGAGCCACCAGATATATATAGTTTTATGGAAAAGAAGCTATTTGATGCATGCTTATAAAGATGAATGAGGTCATCAGGAAAATGTGACCCTGAACTGATGCTGTTTAAAAACAAAAGCATGTACAATCTTTTGGTAAATTTCTATTAAACACAGGTACTTAAGCCTTAAAGGAATAATTATGTAGAAACTTACATTGCCAAAAGCATTATTCCTCACAATGTTATATGGGGAATTAATAACTTGCATTTAGTACAGTGGAGGTCAATTAACATAATTATCAAAATGTAGTTAATTTTTACTGTATATGTTTATTTCTTTATACACAGTAGATGCTTTATAAATACTTTATTGCAGAATATTAAGATGGGTTTAAAAAAATTTTTTTAGTTATAGCTGGACACAATACCTTTATTTTATTTATTTATTTTTATGTGGTGCTGAGGATCAAACCCAGGGCCTCGCCCGTGCTAGGCAAGTGCTCTACCACTGAGCCACAACCCCAGCCCTAATAAGGTATTTTTAAAGCATGCACAGTCCCCATCAGCACTGACTAGCATTTTGACTCCTTGTCTTCTTCACAAATACCACTAGTGATTTTAAAAAATTGTGGCTGCTACCTCAACTTGAAGATCCAAGCACAAATGCCTCTAACATAAATACCTCTCTATAATAATATGCAAATTTCTCTAAAACACACATTTCCTTTTGAAATTTGGGTATCAGAGTAAATGATTCTCTGATATTTCTTAATTATCTAAAATGAAGACAAAATATTAGATAATATTTTAGATTAATGGAAAAGTCCACAAGTCACTATTTGCAAATTGTTCTCACTATAATTGTTATCAATTAAAGAAAAAAAACAAACATTAGTTTCAAGTTCAGGCATATAAGGGTTTTTGAACCCTAGACCAACAGTAAAATAGCATCAATAAATTTTACAATTTCTGTGCTCTAGTTTTCTAGGATTTAAACATTTGAGATTTACTAACTTCTAGGGTTGTGAACATTACAGAAAATAATACCTAATAAATTTGAAATGTTAAACATCCTCCATGTATATTCAATTTCCCTTGGAATGTGTTCAGTGTAGGAATACCAATAAACACCAATGCAAAGTCAGGTCATGGCCAAACATAGTAACTATTTATTAATTTTCTTATAAACATTCAGTTTCTTCCTTCTAAAAAAACCTAGAATTTAAATACTTCCCCCATCCCATCACATATAAGTCTGTATACATTATTTACATCTTTCAAATAAAACATTACAGATTTTCTGACATTCATTATCCCCTATTAAAGTAAAAATGATGAAATAACTAAACTCTGATCAATAACAACTACAATTTGTATAATCTTGGCACAGTTTACAATATGGCGTCCATGCTGCATTTCGTATTTTAGATTATTTTTCCCCTTCCAGCTACTTTAAGCAACTATTTATATCCATGAAAGTAAGATTTTTGTCTTTATACATTCTCTTAAATACTTGCACAATGTGAACACTGCCCTTATACTTCCATTACTTGGCAGTGGCAATATTTCTCTCCCTTTGTCTTCAGAAATGGTACCTATTCGAACTACATGTTCTCATATTTACTGTATTCACTCTCCACCTAGATTTCATGACACTGTTCTTAGTGATAATTTTAAGTAATAAATGTATAGGAAAAATTCAAATAGAACAAAAGTATTCCCTAAAATATTACTTCCTCACCACCCTGGTTATGCATGTACAAAAATAACAAATACAATTTAGTGGCTATAAAAAACTATTTTCCCTAAAAATAGTCATTTCTGCAGAACAATTTAAGGAGAAAAGTGTTCCTAAATGAAAATACACAAATCTGTTTTACAATCTGCACAATTAAGTATTTCAGAAAAAAATAAAAACAAAAACCTGTAAGAAACATCCACCTGTAAAATTTAATAATAATAAAAATTAAATATTTTGTTTGATTTTATACAACTAATATCCTTTTCAGTGACATAATTTAAAGAAAGCTGTCAACTAAAACAAATAGAAACCTATATTCTGACAGTAAGCACTAAAGAATCACTAACAATGAAGACCTACAAAATCAACCTAACTGCTTTGTTTTCTTGTTATGTGTGTATGTATATTTCAAACAGAAGATGGAGAATAGGAAAACATACAGCTAGAAAAGGCCAGTGATTTCACTACCTGTCTTTGAGAATTATAGTCCAGAGTTTTCTATTATATAACACTATTTGCAAATAGACTTGCATTATGCTTATAAAATTGAGTACCCCTATTTAAATCTACTTTTTCTCTTTTGTCTAAATAAAGTTCAGCTATAAGTAGCAGACATGGAATGCACTGTTATGTTTTCAAAATAAATTTCCTTTTATTAACTTATTAGGAAAGTTTTAAAATTCAAATAATCTGCAGTCAGAATTTTGTTACATGTTCTAATTATACTTGTTCATTAAATCTTGAGATAGCTTTACCTCTAGCCATGTATCATCTCATACACAATTAAGCTGATAGCTGAACAACAGTGAATCCTGTGGTAAATCTTAACATCATGATAAAACTCTTTGTCATTTTAATTATTTTAGAAATGGTCCTTAAAGTGTAGATCTGTGTTTCTAAGAATTGGCATATTCTTAAATATTCTAGGTAAGTTTCAAAATATGATTGTATGCAGTCACATTTAAAATTACAAATATATTTTTGGCCCCCATCTTTTCAAAACAAGTCAAACTTTAAGGTTAAAAATGATATGTGAAATAGTTATAAAATTCTAAATATATTATTTCTGACAGACTTAAAATCTAACATAATTAATACATAAAACGTTCCAATTTCTTTGCACACAACCTCTAGTCTTTAAAGTCAGACTGTTAACTTAAATGAAAACGTTTGAAAAACAAAAAGAATGGAGGTAAAGAGTCTGTTTCCTTAAACTACTGCTATTTTAAACACTGGATTCATTTTTCCATACTATCCATTTGATCAAAACTATCCTATAATAGTCAAGATGGAATTCAAAAGTTTTCAGGAAAAGAAATAAAAAATAAAAAGTAAGTTCTAAAGGAAGCTCTGGGATTTTTTTTAAAAAAATAGTCTTATATTTAATTATAAAGTAATTCAACTAAATTTAGAAAATTAAATCTATACATCCAAATGATACTGTCCACTTCAAAATAGTAACATCAGGAAAATAATTCCTTTATTCAATGATGCAGTTAATGGTTAAAACATTGTCTTCTGCAGATTCAGATCCTATGACACATTCTTTTGAATTTCCCTGTTGGCTTAGTTCTCATAGAACAGCCAAGTTGTTAGACTTGGTTTGGTGATTAGGACAGATAAATATTAAGCTGCCAAAAAAGATGATGAAATTGATTTTCTTGCATAGTTACAAGCCAGTTCTCCTGGCATCTCTAAAGGAATTCCAAAAACATTACACTTTCATAGCATAGCTGGAATAAGTAGCGCTCCCAAGGGAACTACTCTGAAGATCAACTCTCACTGGATGTTAAGGTATGACAATCATTTTAAAAGAAAGTTCTACACCATAATATTGTATGGCACATATTCTACTATTTCAGTGGTTATCAAAACCTCTCTCGGAGAGGGTGTAGACAAAGCTGTAAAAGAAATCTGTCATTTTTCTATTTTCCTACAAGCAAGGAAAATACCAATACATAAAATGGAGTCTGGACATTACATATGTAAAATAACACATCATCTCTATTTCCTGATAAAGAGATTGCAGTGCTTTATCCATCCTGATAGTGGAAGAAATAATTCAGTCTGAAATATATTACACATATCTTCAGTTATTTAAGACATTTTATGCTGACCATTTAGAATTTACAAATGACTAACACAGGGAAGGTAGAAAGAGACAGAAATCTAAATCTTTCATTTTAAGGTATACTGACATCCAAAGTCACCAGCTAACTAATACATGCTTACTATTTTAGTATAGTTCAATACCATGGTTTTTATGGAAAATGGAATAATGAAAGCCAGTAGTAGCACCATCTAATGCTAACTAAAAACTGTTTATTCTTTTTGTTATCATGTGTCCACCACCACTACTCCATCATTTAAAATAATTCCTAAGATGTGCTTCATATCAACATTTTAACCAAAACATCATGAGTGACAACAATACTATGTTAACTTACTACTTTACGTTTTATAGGATGCTTTTATCAAAGGATGAGAAAAACAACTTCTTTGTAGCTCTGTATAAACAGCAAGGGGAAATAATTGTCTTGGCTATTTTTAATTAAAGAAAGAAATCTGAAAAGAATATAATAGACTTGTAAGCAAGTCTGCTTCAAAAATCAAGCTTTGGTCCTTATTTTATAAAGGGTGTCTAACTCTCATAGGAATCAACCAAGTCAAAGTAACTTTTTAATAGAATCAGTTCTTTCTCACTGGCTTTGGTGTTTTCCTTACTTGTAACCATCTAACACCATGTACAATGCCAGGCTTCTCTCTAGGAGAACTTTATACTTCATTATCATATATACACACATACATATCTCCTTTTTTCCCAATAACTTGTTAAGTGAACACTCAGACACAGGTACCTGAGATTCTGGCACAGTGAAAACAAACTTCTATCTACATACTGTGGAAAGGTAAATCCTACTATCAAATATTAGAGTAATATTTTTCCATTTTTACAGTGTACAACTATGTAAGGTTTAAAAGATCTAGAACAACTTTCTATTATTCTCTCCACACATGACTATTGCAACCCATTTGTTATAGGATGATAAAAAGTCAAATGCAATATGGAAAAGTTTTGAGTAATTGTGTCTTTCATTTCCTACATAGTTAGATCTCAAAACTCACGACACCCAATTTTATTTCTGAATCAACCCATAGTGATTGATTTGTCTATTTGTACACTGAAATATTTGTTTTAAGTAAGTCAGCTAGCTCTCAGTGCAGTTTATTAATAAGCATCACCAATAAATGTCCAATATATTTACCCCTGCCAAGATCTTCCATTACTTCTACTGTTGGTACTTGGTGAATAACTGCTAGAAATGAAATGGAGAAAAAGGCAGTTCCCTTGTGATCCTAATTTTAAGGGCATTAAATTGTATCACTGTTCTTCTTGTTAATAACACAAATAAATTTATTTCATTTTAGATTTTTGTCCACAAAGCCTTTGTAATCTACACGATTCCAGAGCAGCATTTCTATTCTCTTCTATTTTAGGAAAAAGGTATGTTTCTACCAAGAGAAGGGTATATAGTTCTAATTGAAGGAAGCAGATTTACCAAAATATGTCAAATTAAAACAAAGTCTGAAAGGGTATTTCTCAATCTCAAGAACAAATCTGAAGTGAAGCAAATTAATATTTATTCTAAAAACTATGTTTTAAAACTTACTGGTGGTAATAATTCACTAGAAAGTCATGGCAAATAAAATTTAAAAATAACTATTGAATGATGAGCATTTTTGTTATTTGATATCACTGTAAAGAAATGATTTTTTTCACAGTGGAAAAACCAGAAGTCAGAATGCTTCAATCTGGGCCCTATAATAAGCAAAGGTACTATATCATTTTAAAATGATAGGCAAATACTAGCTCCATTCACTGAATGGAAATGCTACAAAGTGATTAATTTCCCTAAAGTCCTTAAATTCAATGTTTAATGTCTGTACCTAAAATTAATAATTTATTTTTAACTTCTCATGGAAGCTGATTCCTAAAAAAAAAAAAAATCTCTAAGACTCTGTTTAAAAATAATTGATTAAAATCTTCACACCGTTCTATTCAAAGATTTTAAAAACAGGACTTTCTAGAACTTGACTCCCCACTTGATTCCATCCCTAACTCCTCACAGAAATTAACCCCCTTCCCAACCAAACACACTCTTTAATCCCCTCCTCTTTGAAACAGAAGGGGATTCTGTAGACTTATGGCTCATTTGGCAATTGCTAAGAAACCTCACAGTTTAGCATCACCTCTGAAGATGGCAATCCTAATATAACCTGAAGTTTTACACCTACAGTGCAGTTAACATGTAGAAAGAAGTCAAAATGCAATAGGTATTACATTTCAAAATCCTCAAGTTTCAATATCACAGATATCAAGAGATGGAAAATATCTGCTCATAGAACTTTAAGCATTTGTTGAACAGAAATATATTACCATCAATATCAAAAATAATTAAGAAATACTAATTTTTATGTTCTACATGCACACTTTTACAAATTATGTTTCTTCAATGTAGTAAAAGCTGGAGATCACCAACTTAGGTCAACTATGGCTTTTATCATAGATTATTTTACAACTTGCACCAGTAAGTGCCCTGGGTAGTAATCCTAATATTATTTTGAGCCCTGCTCAGTCCTATGTCTGTGCTTTGCACCTCAGAAGTGGGCCTGCCAAGGCACTTTAAAAACATGTCTTTTGGGGACTTCAAAATGGGCCACAATTTACACAACACAGAACCCAACCATTAGCAGTTCAGTCAGTAAGCATTTTCTTCTAGCACACAATATTATTAAAAACTCTTCAAGTAACCAAAACCAGGTTAAAAATAATACTGTATGCTGATAAGACAAAATTCACCCCTTTTCAAATGTAGAGAATGGTTCTTGGTTTCCTCTAGCAGTAGAATATGGTTTCATATATTCGTAATAAAGAAAAGGGAACCCAAACAAGCCCCCCAAACCTAAGATAAAAACAATCCAGAAAAAAACAAAATATAACAAAACCCAAATACACTCCACACAGCTTCAATTGAAGAACAATTTGCACAGTTCTGCATCTTTTTTATCTGTCCTTCGAAGTGAGTTTTTCAATCAGTTCTTGGAGTGGTGCAAGTTCTCTTCTATCAATAAGGTTGAACTCCTATGCAGAAAGAAAGAAAGAACAGCAAAAACATATTATTTGCATCCCATTCCAAAGCAGATTATCATGAAATATAGATTTGATTTTTTTTCCCTATTCATTATCTGTGTCTTAGACCTGATGTTATGGTTTTTTTAATATTTTATTTTTTATTTGTTCTAATTATACATGACAGTAGAATGCATTTTAATACATCATACATAAATGTACTGACTTCTCATTTGTCTGGTTGTACATGATGTAGAGTTATACATATCATGTAATCATATATGCACATAGGGCAATAATGTACAATTCATTCTATCATTCTGATTCCCATAGCCCCTCTACTCCCTTCACTCCCCTCTGTCTAGTCCAAAATATTTCTATTCTCCGCCCACCTTATTGTGAATTAGCATCCACATATCAGAGAAAACATTTCAGCCTTTGGTTCTTTGCAATTGGCTTATTTCACTTAGCATAATGTGTTCCAATTCCATCCATTTACCAGCAAATGCTATACTTTCACTCCTTTGAGTAATATTCCATTGTGTATATATCCCAGTTTCTTTATCCATTCATCTGTTGAAGAGGCCTGATGTTATGTTTTGTTTTTTAAATATTTTTTTAGTTGTTGATGGACCTTTTATTTGCTTTTTTATATGTGGTGCTGGGAATCGAACGCAGTGCCTCACACATACGAGGCAAGTGCTCCACCGCTGAGCTACAACTCTAGTCCCTGATGTTCTTTTTACATTAATAATATTTTAATCAATACTATTAGTAGGCCTGATGTTATGTTTTTACATCAATAATATTAGGATAAATTACCCTATCTCATGATATTATTGTGGGGAGCTAAATAAATGTAATAAAGGATGTTAACCATTTTATGTAATATCTGGCATAAAGTGACATTCCTTCCTATTGAAAGGAATAACCTGGGCACCATTTAAAATATACAGTCAAAAAAATTTAGCATATTAGGAAAACTTGAATCTGTAGGCTATCAAAAAATGTTATGTGAGGGGCTGGGGATATAGCTCAGTTGCTTGCCTCCCCCATGCACAATGCCCTGGGTTCAATCACCAGCACCACCAAAAAAAATTAAAAAATAAAATTAAATGGTATGTGAATAACATAAGGTGGTATACACAATGATAGATTAAAATCCTGCAAAGGGCAAATGAGAAGACCTGAATTTAATCAGTGCTACTGCTGTGGGATTTTTTTGTTTTGTTTTGTTTTTTCCCCCTTAAAAGTGCTGGGGATTGAATCCAGGGCTTCCTAAATCTACCACTGAGTTATACTCCTAGCTCCTAATTTGTGCTTTTCTCCTCTAGGCTGGGGATGTTGCTCAATGGTATAGCACATGCTCAAGCATGTACATGGTATAGTTCCACCCTTGTCATTCTGAAAGTCACTCGTATACAGATTTCCCCTGAACTACAAATAGGCTAATAAATAAAACCTGTCTATACTCTAAATCTTTTTCCAGGGTAGGGCAATTCATTAGCATCCATCAAATGCAAAACACTACAGTTAGAACTTTGGAGAAGTTCTAACTATCATTTGGGGCATTCAATATCAGAATCATCCGTGAGATTTTTGAGATTTAGGAACACAAATGGATACACACTACACAATTCAAATTCTTAAATAAAAATGTTCTATCCTGCTATCTTGACAAATGTACCTTCACAATAACCAGGATAGCAAATTCAGACTTCTTAGGATTTTACACTAGAAATCATGAGCAGAGTCATCCTCGGTTCCCTGGTCCTCAACAAACCTCTATACCTATACCCAGCTCCAACCTGCACTACAAGGTGCCTCACTCATGAGAATGAACACCTTGGCTGGCACATATGTCTAATGTTCACATACCCTTACAAACACTGTCATCTGGCAATGCATTTGGGACCATATGGGCAGGGAATTCTAGAGTCTCAGGTACCCAAGAACATACCAAAGGGATATAGGTAGGTATGTTCTTGGCTTTGTGGATTTCTCATTTTGTGGGGTAAGCCCAGCTGGGGAAAGCTCAAAACAAGATTCTCTAAATTGTGGGGCCCAAAGACAGACATTCCCCTTGTACTGTGTAACTAATAAGAAACTCAGAGTGTCCTAAGATGTTAAGCAAGATCAGATGCAGAAATGTAATATATTGAACCCGTACTATTTGCTAGAATTTGGGAAACTGTACTTTAAGATTACAGAGTAAAGTAAAACTAAACCTTCTGGAGAGAGAAGCATTCTCCTAAACCACAACTTTAGCAATCATGTTCTGTGTAAACCAAAAATATAGATTTAGAATTGTATTTTCTTTTGGGTCCACAGATGGGATACCATGACAAGAGTTTTGGGAAACTACAACCTTTTAATGTGTTTTTACAGGTGAAATTGAAATATAAAATGGAGTCTTCAGTGTGAGGAGTATATATAGAGGAAAATGGACACATTTTTCTTTAAGAGAAATGGGACGTAGAAAGGGCATTTATAAACATGCCACAGATATATAAAAACATCGTAAATTCAAACATTGGGGGCTGGGGTGTGAGGTGTGTCTCAGTGGTACAGCACTTGTTGAGAAAGCACAAGGCCCTGAGTTCGTTCAATCACCATCACTGTTCAAAAAAAAGAACCAAAAACTCCCACAAAACTTGGGTTTCTTTTGACCACCACCCTCCTTCTCTCAACCTCTGTAAAAATAAATAATAAAGCTGGTTAGCTCTTCCATTTCGAACTCTTTTTCACTTTTGCTTGTTATTGATCTAATTAGAGAATTAGGTAAGGATATTCTTAGTGGGGCACAGTGACACACACCTATAATCCTAGCAACTTGGGAGGAGAAGGATCACAAGTTTTAGGACAGACTCAGCAACTCTGCAAGACCCTCAGCATCTTAGCAAGACACTGTCTCAAAATAAAAAATAAAAAGGGCTTTGGATATAGCACCCAAACCAAAAACAAAAATTTTTTTCAATGCTTTTAGACTTAAATTCTAAGTCTAGTTCTTTGAGGACTAAACAAAAAGGGGGTTCAACTAGCAGGTCAGATCAAAGACACTCTCTGTGGCATATTGTTCCCTCATACATGGCAGTCCTTAACTTAAAAATTATTAGAATATGGCCATAAAAGAAGGGGAGTAAGGAAGAATATTATATTCAATTTATTTCCAGGACAGAGTCCACTAATAAAGATCCACAAAAGTGGAGGGTTAAGGGAATCAAAGGAGTGCCAATATGCTCAAAAGACCAAATTCATCTATAAATTCTGCCCAACTAGTCAAGTTTCTTATTCAGCTCCTCCATATGGCATGGCAATTGAATGTAATATCCAATGTAATATTCATTTTGGAATTACTTGCCATGAACTTGGATACTAATGAAATTCAGAAACAAAAGGCCAGCCTTATTGTCATGAAAAATATAAAGATGCAGATTAGTGAGATAGGGAAAATTCTATTCTGACAGTGTGTATGCAGTATTTATCACAGAACTCTGAAAATAAGTGATTACACTAAGCAGTAAAGGCCTCCTAATCAAACTCACCTGGACAAAAAAAATAAAGTGCTTGAAAGATGTATTAAGATGTGCTTCCTCTTGCAGCTGGATCACAGGATCAAAATGTTGGTGATAAATATGAGCATAAACCCTAAAAAGACGTTTAAGTATAGTCTTTGCCACAGACATAAAATTCTTTGGGAATGGAACACCTAGTAAAGGTGAGAGAACAAAGTAAATGGCAACATAAATGACCAAAACAAGGGTAAAAAGAATTAGCATTTATGAATTAATACTTTACATATCCATTATATTTTTCAGAAGTTCTCATCATATCATAAATAAAAATTAATTCCATAGCATCTATGGAAAAAGAACGAATCTTCATTATAGCCCGTTACGCCTCTAATATACCACCACTTCATCAAAACAAAGCAAACTCCTAAGATGGTAGTCAGATTTTTTATTTTCTTAACATCAAGCCTCAATACATTTTGTGCTGAAAACAAGTAATGTATTTGCCAAATTCAGTTCTATTTAAAGTGCTTACATTTTATACTTTTTTCTATAGAAATTACTTCATTAATATTCCAAATCCATAATTGGTTCTGAAATTAACTAAACTCTGTTTAATTAGGCTTCTTGTTTTGTGAGTTAAAAAGTACTTTACAGCATTAAACAGATACAAAACAAGAAAAATACAAAATCCCTGGAAAGGAAAGGGAACCATTCCTTTTATACTATTGGTAGAAATGTAAATTGGTACAGCCATTATGGAAAACAGAAGATTCCTAAAGAAATTAAAAATAAAATTATCATATGCTTCAGTAATCCCACTTTTGAATACACACCTAAAGGAAATAAAATCCCTGTATTATAAAGATATCTGCACCCTATGTTCACTGCAGCATTATTCATAAAAGCCAAGCTATGGAAACAATCTAAATGTCTGTCAATGGATGAATGGATAAAGCAACTGTGAGATACACATACCCAAGAACATTATTCAGCCTAAACAAAGGAGGAGATCCTGCCTCTTACATCCACAACATGGATGGACTTGGAGGACATTATGCTAAATGTAAACCACACAAAAAGAAAAATATTTCATGACCTCACATATATTTGGAGTAGGGTAGGGAGGTAAAATAAAAATAAAAAGTGGTAAAATGTTAAAAACTAAAAATGTAGACTAAGGAATTCTTTATTCCATTCTTGGTAGGATTTTTGCAATTTTCCTAAATATCTAAAATTAGATAAAGTGTTCAAAATATGGGAGGTAAGAGATAAGATGGAGGCAATCATTCAAAATCATCGTGACAATATGTAAATAATGCAGCCTTAAAAAATCATTTTATTGTAAAAGCTCCAAAATGATTCAAATATTCAAAAAATGTTTACAACACTCTGGAACAGTAACTACTTACATGGTAATCTTGTCTACCACACTCTTATTCCAAAAACTGAAAACAAAATGTAGTCTAAAAGTTGTTCTAACAATATTAGAAGAGCGAACTCTTAACTTTTTTCAGAGAAACAGCTCTAAAACATTTGAAAAGGTAAATATATATGAGCTATCTAGATGTGAACTATTTCCATTTAAAAAGTCTGCCCTTTAAGACAAATATAAAAAAGCAAAATTCACTCAAATTGATAATAAGCCAACCCCTCAAAACTTATTTTCTTCTCATACAGCTTGATTTCAATATCTGTTAAGATTTTGTACAACATAAAGTGAAACTCCCTCTTTGCCACAAATACAATGTTAAATTGGACAGAAACATAAACTCTTCTCCCAAATAAACATAACTACTATAGATATTATTAGCTCCATTTTCTTTTTTTCCTATAATTTAAATCAGATTTTGTTACTATCCTCAATTACTCATCTTCTCATCATTGAAAATTACAGGAAGGCTTATATTACCTCAATGTTCATAACAACCATGGTGTGAAAAGGGTGTTCTTAAATGCACAAGATTAGAACTATTTTGGTAGACATAAAACTAATGTGGTTCCTAGAATATGATTAAGACTTTATCTAGCATTTTCTACTGAAAGGATATTTGATCTTCATAATTATCAAGAAAATAACACATACCACAATCCCCCAAAGCCCTCACTGATTATAAGTAAGTTCAATCATATTTTAATCTGGAGTGCCACTAAAATTTAGCAAATAAAATGAACCGATACACATAACCTCTTTCAACTAATATGTATTTGAAGACACTAAGTTAAAGGGTGAAGAAAATCAATTTACATAGGATATCTTCCTTATGTTATGGCTGGGTTAACAAACTTTTGTGCCTCCTCTTGGGAACTGAATAACACAGCCCTATAGAACTGTCCAACTGAATAGTGTAGGAAGAGTCAGGACAATACCAGAAACATAAAATTAGATAAATTATGATGGCTCACAATTACATAAAATAATTATACCAATTTTTGATGGAAATAATGTCTCATCATCCAACTGGTCCTGGACCCAAGTCATCAGGTAATCAATATACTTTGGTGCAGAGCATTTGATAGGTTTCTTTATATTTGTTCCATCTGCCCAATGATACTCGTATCTGCAATGGAAAGATAAAAACACATACATAAAGCACATATTTTCATATTTTTATATCTGTGTATATTATTAATTTATGCATAAGCATATATTAAGCAGTGTTTCTCCAAATAAAGTGCATTTTCAATTGCCTGTGGACTATTCTGTATTTATCACAGTTCAAACTAAGCAGAGCACATAAAACTCACTCTTTGTTTACACACTTTTTGAAACATGTATGAATTTTCTTACACAGGTTTCCTTCACACACAGTAGAATTCTACATTACAGTAGAAAAACTGTATCACATTAATTTCAAGTAATGAAACAGAAGAAGCCATCAAAAGCCTACCAACTAAGAAAAGCTCAGGACTAGACGGGTTCTCGGCAAGTTCTATAAGACCTTCAAAGAAGAATTAACACCAAATTATTCCATAAAACAGGAAAGGAGGGAACCCTTCCAAACTCTTCCTGTGAGGCTAGTATCACCCAGATACCAAATCTAGACAAAGACACATCACAGAAAGAAAATTTCAGACCAATATCCCTAATGAACATAGATGTCAATATTCTCAATTAAATTCTGGCAAATCGCATACAAAAATATATTAAAAAGATAGTGCACCATGATCAAGTGGGGTTCATGCCAGGGATGCAAGGTTGGTTCAACATACAGAAATCAATAAACGTAATACATCAATCAATAGACTTAAAGACAAGAATAATATGATTATCTCAATAGATGCAGAAAAAGCATTTGACAAAATACAGCACCCCTTCATGTTCAAAACACTAGAAAAACTAGGGAAGTAGGAACATACTTCAACATTGTAAAAGCTATATCTATGCTAAGCCCAAGGCCAACATCATTTTAAATGGAGAAAAACTGAAAGCATTGCCACTAAAAACTGGAACAAGACAGGGACGCCCTCTTTCACCACTTCTATTCAACATAGTCCTGGAAACTCTAGCCAGAGCAATCAGACAGATGAAAGAAATTAAAGGGATACAATAGGAAAAGAACTCAATCTATCACCATTTGCTGATGATATGATTCTATATTTAGAAAATCCAAAAAATTCCACCAGAAAATGTCTAGAACTAACAAATGAATTCTGCTAGTAGCAGGATATAAAATCAATACCCATAAATCAAATGCATTTCTATACATAAATGATAAATCCACTGCAAGAAAAATTAGGAAATTAGCCTTAAAAAAAAAAACACTTGGGAACCAGCCTAACAAAGGAGGTGAAAGACCTCTACAATGAAAGCTATAGAATACTAAAGTAAGAATCAGGAAGATCTTAGAGATGGAAAGATCTCCCATGCTCTTGGATAAGCAGAATTAATATTGTCAAAATGGTCATTTGGTAGAATCATTTAATGTAATTCCTATTAAAATCCCAATGACATTCTTCACAGAACTGGAACAAGCAATCATGAAATTCATTTGGAAAATTAAGAGACCCAGAGCTGGGCATGGTGGCACACGCCTGTAATCCCAGTGGCTCAAGAGGCTGAGACAGGAGAATCGCGAGTTCAAAGCCAGACTCAGCAAAATCAAGGTGCTTAGCAACTCAGTGAGACCCTGTCTCCAAATAAAATACAAAATAGGGCTGGTATGTGGCTCAGTAGTTGAGTGCCCCTGAGTTCAATCCCTGGTACAAAAAAAAAAAAAATTAAGAGACTCAGAATAGCCAAAGCAATCCTTAGCAAGAAGAGTAAAACAGTCTTAGATCTTAAACTATACTACAGAGTAATAGTAACAAAAACAGTATGATATTGCACCGAAATAGACATGTAGCATAATGGTACAAAATAGAAAACAGAGACAAACCCACATAAATATGGTTGTCTCATACTAGACAAAGGCACCAAAAACATACATTGGAGAACAGATAGCCTATTCAACAAATGGTGTTGGGAAAACTAGAAATCCATAGGTAGCAAAATGAAATTAAATCTCTCTCTCACTCTGCACAAAAATCAATTCAAAGTGGATCAAACTGGTGCAACCACTCTGGAAAGCAGTATGGAGATTCCTCAGAAAATTTGAAATGGAACCACCATTTAACCCAGCTGTCCCACTCCTTGATTTACACCCAAAGGACTTAAAATCAGCATACTGCAGTGACACAGCCACATCAATGTTTATAGCAGCTCAATTCACAACAGCTAAACCATGGAACCAACCTAGATGCCCCTCAACAGGTAAAGGTATAAAGAAAATATGGTACATATACACAATGGAATATTAGCCTTAAATAAGAATGAAATTATAGTATTTGCAGGTAAATGGAACTAGTGAATATCATGCTAAGTGAAATAAGCCAATCTCTAAAAAACCAATTGGCCAAATATTTTATCTGTCCAGTGGATGCTGATCCATAGTTGGGAGGTGGCATAGGGAAGAATGAAGGAACTTTGGATTGTGCAGAGGGGAGTAAGAGGAGTGGGTAGGGGAGGAGTTGTGGGGATGGGAAAGACAGTGGAATAAGACAGACATTATTACCCTATATACATGATATGATTACACTACTGGTGTGACTGCATCACATACAGCAAGAGGAATGAGAAGTTGTGTTCCATTTGTATACAATGTGTCAAAATGCATTCTACTGTCATGTATAAATAATTAGAAAAAATAAATAAATTTCTACTGTTTTAAAAAAACTGTATCATAACTCAGTGTTATGATGATCATCTTTGAATTTTATGGTTTTCTTCCTTAGAAAACATTTCTCCTGTGCAGTATAATTCTTTTTAACTTGACACTTTAAATTTTGGGTTAAAGATAAACACAGAACTCCAAAGTAAGATTAAGAATAAAGAAAATGACTTGATATCTGAGTACATTTGGCTGAAAAGTTAAATATGGCTTTAAAGAAAACTGGCAACTCAAAGAAAGACGTTCACAGGTTTTGGGTATTATCAGAAACTTATATTCCGATTTAACAATTAATGTGCACCTATTATGTGAAAAGACACAAAATTAAGAATAAGAGTCACTAAAAAGATTCTTTTCCTACTTCCAAGGAAAACAGTTTACTAGAAAGACAGACCTGCAAATGAACAAGTAAAAACAATATGGTATGAACCCTAACACTGTGCATGTGTGTGTGTGTGTGTGTGTATGTTTCTTTTACAGACACACACACACACACACACACAACCTGAATTTTAAGATAAGAAATAATCATACAGTCAACACTACAAATATAAATCTCTCTAAACTGAACTGGTATTTAGATTTTTAGCTTCCAAAAGTTACCTCTGTTGCTTCAATCTTCAAAACAACACTGTGCTTTCTAACCTTGTTCCCAGAGTTTGGACTGACTGATACATCAGAGAGTCTAGCAAAAAAGAAAAAGAAAAAAGGCAGAATACTACAGAGTATTTTAAATGATAAAAATTATGTTGAGATGGAATAAATAAATAAATAATGGAATTTCATTTTTTAATACCTTTTTTATTTTTTTTAGGTGTAGATGGACACAACACAATACTTTAGAATACTTTCTATCTAATCACAACTACTTGCTACTGAACAATAATCCAAAACAAGATGTGTCTGAATACACACTTTTTGGGAGGATCTATTGCCAACAATTAGATGACAAGAAGACTGTCAAGGGCTGGGGTTGTGGCTCAGTGGTAGAGCACTTGCCTAGCATGTGTGAGGCATGGGTTTGATCCTCAATACCACACATAAATAAATAAATAAGCAAACAAGCAAATAAATAGAACAAAGGTTAAAAAAAAAAAAATGACTATCAAGTCCATTTGGAAGGTCTCCAAGGAAAGAGTTCCCAACAGTTCTTGGGACCTTGTTGCAATGATTAATCACTTTCACAGTTAAGGGAATCTTGCTATTATAAAATTAAAGTGCTTAGTATGATTTAAGCTTATTTCTTCTTCTTTGATCCTCTTGGGAGACAGATGATAAATGGTAGAACTTTAAGCCATCCTTATCCTTCACTTAGAGAAGGGGACTTCATCCATGTTTTCTCCTTTAAGATAGCATAACATCTTTATTGTTCCTTTACAACATGTTTTTCTTTTTTATCTTTTTAAAAGTTTTCAGGTATTTTGTGTTCACTTTTAAATATAAAAATCAAAAGAACACATAGTTAATCAAAAAATCATACTAAAAATTTTAAATTTAAAAAAATAATTAAAACTTTCAATATCATAAGGCTTTCTGAAAAATAAGACAACTCTATGTTGCTCACACCTATCATTTACAACTATGATTCCTTGATCTTCTCTTTTTCTTTTATGTTTATATTTAAGATGACTTCCTTTATTTTGTAGCTATCTTACCCCATCTATTATTTTTACTCCATCTTTGACAATCTTCTTTTAAATTTTTGTTATGACTATACAAACCTGTAAACTATACCATTTCTTTTAAAATAATAATAATAAACAGAAACTGAGAACCAAGTCCTGTGAGGCACTGTTTAATACTACTTTGGAAGAGGCCAGTGCCAAGTACAGATTGAGCATACCTAATCCAAAATCTGTAAAGCTACAAAATTAGAAATCTTTTGAGTGCAGATAAGATGCCAAAAGAGAAAAGTTCCACACTTGACCTCATGATAAGCTGCAGTTAAAATGTAGATGTGCTAAAAATATTGCCTAAAATTACCTTCAGGTTATGTATATAAGGAGTATGTAAAACATAAATAAATTCCATGTCTAAACTTGAGTTCTATCCCTGAAATATTTCTATGTGTATGCAAATATTCCAAAATCAAAAACAATCCCAAAGTCCTCTGGTTTCAAGTGTTTCAGGTAAGGGATACTTAACCTATATTAACAACTGCCTCTTCTTAGTACAGTCTTGCCTCTGCCAATAAAGAACCTTGATAACAACTAGGTCTTTTTAGCATTATCACTAGCGAAAAGTCCAGTCTCCAAAAAAGAAGGAAAAAGAAAGAGAAAGGAAGAGAGAGAGGGAGGCAGACAGGCTTGAAGGAAGGCAGGCAGTAACACACACACACACAAGCAGAAACAAACACAGCTCTCAAAGGAACATTGTGTTTTCAATGCATAGCTAACAACATAACAACACAATTCAAAATATCTGTTTTCACAAGTAAAACTTAAAACATCCTAAGTAAACACCAATAATATTAACCAGAATTAAGATGTACTAAAAGGGATTTCATTTTTTTAATACCTTTTTTATTTTTTTAGGTGTAGATGGACATAACACAATACTTTATTTAATGCTGAGGATCAAATCCAGGCCCCACCCATGCTAGGCAAGCACTCTACTGCTGAGCCACAATCCCAGCCCCAAGGGATTTCATTTTTAAACGACCTTTTTCCTTTAAGAAAACTTCCCAAAATAACAAGTAACAGAAATTCATTTTGTCTTTGATGAAACTAGGAAACACCTGTATCTCTGAACCACAGTATTTAAAAACAAAGAACTACATAATTCACATAAATTCAAATATGGTGAAGGAAGACCAAGAGAGACACCTGCAACTACAAAGTCCACAGACCACAATTCTCCAAAGTCAACAGTCCTGAGGGTTGAAAACCACAGAACAAAACTCTATAGGAAGAGGTCTATAGGAAGCAGGAGACTGAAAGGCACTGAATTTTTTTTTTTTTTTAAGAGAGAGGGAGAGAGGGAAAGAGAGAGAGAATTTTAATATTTTTTTTTTTAGTTATCGGTGGATACAACATCTTTGTTTTTTGTATGTGGTGCTGAGGATCGAACCCCGGGCCAAACGCATGCCAGACGAGCACGCTACCACTTGAGCCACATCCCCAGCCCCAAGGCATTGAATTTTTAATAACTGCAGCTACTTATCTCTGTGGGCTAGAAAGAAGTAAAAGTTCAGCTTTGTGCCCTTTCCAGTGTTGTCTTCCTTTCTCTTTACTAAGAATTTAGCTTATATTTAACCTCCTTATATGTTAGCACAATTCCTTTCCTGAGCTCTTGTATCTCTGTTCTGAGCTCTTTAGTCATCTGACTATATTTACATTCATGACAATGTATGGGGCAATATTCTTGTGATGAATATTGTGGTATGAAGTAAAACATATAATATATGAAGGGCCTTACATATAGGTATCACTAAATAGTAGCTGCCATTGTTATTATTAGCACTGTTTCATTCTCCAGCACCACATTAAAATAAATAAATAAATAAATAAATAAATAAACAAACAAACAAACAAAATAAAGGTATTGGGTCCATCTACAACTAAAAATATTTTTTAAAAAGAACAAGGCTAAGCTGGGAGCTGTGGTATACTCCTATAATTCCAGTAGCCCTGGAGGATGAGGCAAGAAGATTACAAGTTCAAAGCAAATCACAGCAACTTAGTGAGGCCCTAAAAAACTCAGCAAGACCCTGAATAAAGTCTTCTTCTTCTTCTTCTTTTTTAATTTAAGCAGCAAGTCCCTAAATAAAAATAAAAAATGGCTCAGTGGTTAAGCACTCTTAGGTTCAATCTCCAGGACCAAAAAAACACAAAACAAAAAACAACAACAACAACAACAAAAGGCTAAGAAGTTATGTTGGCAATCATGAAAACTGCAAATTTTAAAAAGGCATATATGGCCCTGGACTCAATCCCCAGCACAAGAAGTAAAAAAAGATGAATAATATAAGAAGTACCATTTGATATGAATCTTGAAGATGGATAAGACTGTTTGAAATAGACGATGATAGGAGGAAACTGGAAAAGAAAAACACCCAAGAGAAAACAGAATAAGCAAGTTTACAAAAAGCATGAATAATGTAGAGAACAGCAAAGTGTTTCCAGTAATCTGATTTGGACAGACTGAAGAAGATACATAAGCAAACAGAGGAAAGGCAGGATGGAATACAATACAGGGAGGATCATAAAGCTCAAGCTATGGAATCTGGCTTGATAAAACAGTCATTAGCAAACTACTGAAGGAGTTGCTAAGTAGAGAAAATATATAATCAGAAGCTTTGTTCTTATCTAAAAACTATAAATAAAATGAGAACTAATCATTAACCATGTCTTACTTTGGTCCAGCTGACATCACCGGACAACTCTCCTCTGTACAGAAGTCTGTGATGGTTCCGTAAAGCATGTTGATCTGATTGAAGAAATCCACAGCTGAAAAGCATATAGCAATTATAAGTAAAATATAATGGTTACAATTAAATTTTTACTTTATTTAAGCATAATCTTAACTTTTCTGTGGTCTTTTCCCCACAAAGAACAACTAACACAAAGCACACCCAGAAGCTCCAATATCTGGCTATGTTGAAATCAGGAGCTTGTGTTCATCAAGTGGTTCCATTTAATAGAGCAAAAGTGCCAACAGAGTGGGGAAAATTCTTTGCAACACATACAAACAACAAAAATCTTTTATCTAGAATACACAAAGAACTCCTATAGATGAGTAAGATAAAGAAAACAGGGCTGGGGGTGTGACTTTAGTGACAGAGCATTTGTCTGGCATGTGTGAGGCTTTGGGTTCAATCCCAAGCACAGAAAATAAGGAAGGAAGGAAGGTAAGAAGAAAGTAGGAAGGAGAGGGAAGGGAGGGAGGGAGGGAGGACGGACACACTAGAAAATGTGAAACAGCCTAAACTGTCACTTCACAAAAGAAATTTCTTGTAAGTCAAATACCCTATGAAAATATGTTGGCAAAAAACATGAAAACTGCAAATTTAAATGATAGTGGAATGTTATTCAACAGATTCTCAAAATGTTAAAATGTATTTTAAAAAGCAAAGAACCAAGACCATTCACACATTCCTAAAGAATCAGAAGGTGTATATCAAGACTTATAAAACACAATGAATAGTGTGACCTTATTAAAATGAGGAAACAGAATAGAAAAATCAGAAACAAATGCAAGCACAGATGAAACACTTGATTTACAACAAAGCCATCAAGGTAGAACAGTAGGCAAAGACAATTTTTCATAAATATTTGAGTCAATTATTTATTGCTATGGAAAAAAATTTAAATTAAAACTTCATTCTTCATTCACAACATACCCAAAAAGTAGTTCGAAGTGGACTATATTTTTCAATGTGAAAGGTGAGACAATGAAATTTAAAAGAGTAAAAAGAGGGGGCTGGGGCTATAGCTCAGTGGTAGAGTACTTGCCTACCACGTGTGAGGTGCCAGGTTTGATCCTTAGCACCACATAAAAATAAATAAAATAAAGACATACTGTCCATCTACAACTACAAAAAAAAAAAAAAGAGGATGAAAACATGTCCATGATCTTTAGTGTGTACTTTTTTATCTTTTGCAGTACGGGCAACTGAAGCCAGGTGTGTTCTTCTGCTAAGCTACATCCTCAGCCTTTTTTATTTATTAGGGTCTCTGCTAAGTTGCTGAAGCTGACCTTAAACTTTCAACTGTCCCACCTCAGCACCATAGTTGCTGGGCCTAGATGTATACAACCACACCCAGCTATGACATGGATATATGGAAGAGCAAAAAGCTAATCACAAAGGAATAGTTTTTATATTCATAGTTTTCATAATTTAAGCAGACTGAATCCTAGGTTTTTCACATTTTTGATGCTACTGATAATTTTTATATTCAACTCAAATACTTTATTAAATTCACCTGTTAGTAAGAATAACCATGGTATAGTATTAACAATCATGTTTTTTTTTTAATTTTCAACATATATATCCACAATGGCTATAAATGAAAAAAGTCTTTCTTCCTTTTCAGTCATTACTATTACTATTTTACTATTTTATTCTTTTTCCTGGCTGAGTCTGTTAAGTGGCTATGTTGGATAGCCTTGACCCTTTTCTAACCTGAGGAAAAATTTCAACATTTCATTATTATGATGTTATTTGCAACTCTTTTTGCACAGATAGGCTTTATCAAAAGTAAATTCTCAGCAGGGCACAGTGGTACGTGCCTGTAATCCCAGCTACTCTGGAGGCAGAGGAAAGAGGATAAAAATGTTAAGGCCAGCCCCCACAACTCAGTGAGACCCTGTTCAAACGAAAAATTTTTTAACAAGGGTTAGGAAACTGGATGGGGCTATAGCTCAGTGGTAAAGTGCTTGCCTCGCATGTGTGAGGCACTGAGTTCGATCCTCAGCAACACATAAAAATAAATAAAGATATTGTGTGTCCACCTACAATGAAAAAATAGGGTTGGGAATGTAGCTTAGCAATTACCTTTCTTGTACTAGGCTAGAGCACTTGTCTGGCATGGGAGAGAACCTGGGTTCAATTCCCAGGACCAACAAAAAGAAAAGGTAAGCTTTCATCCATTACTTCCTTGATACATTTTTTTTAATTATACACACATATAAATATGTCACAATGAATACCACTATTATGTATAATTATAATGTACCAATTTAAATTATTTTTTAAAAGATAAATAATAAATTGATTCTGGATTTTATGAAATACTTTTTAGACATATATTGACAGGATCATGTTTTCTTCCTCCTTGATTTTAGTTAATGTGATGAATTACAATGACTGGTTTTCAAATGTTAAACCAAACTCTGTAATTCTACATAAACTTAACTTTGTCACAATGTTATACTTATTAAATATTATTACACTGAATTTGCTAATATTTCATTAGAATTTTTACAATTAAGGTTGTTCCCTAAATTAAATGACCTAGTTTCCTTTCTTTTACTGTCCTGGTAAAAGCTTATAAAATTAACATTGTTTCCATTCTCTATGAGAGCCAAAGGCTTGTTATTATTTCCTTAAATGTTTGATGGAAATCTCTACTTTGAGAAGGCTTTCAATTAGATTACCATTTTAAAAAAATACAAAATTATTCAGATTTTTAATCCTACTATTAACTTTAAGTTGAATTTTTACAGAAATATTTCCATTTCAATTAAATTATTTATACTTATGGCCCCTTATTCACAATATTCTTTTATAAATTTTAGGCTATGAAAGATCTTTAGTGATAGCCAATTTCAGTAATGAAAAAGTGACTATTTGTTGCTCTCAATTTTCTTGATGATAAGTCTTACCAAGAATTATAAATTTCATTAGACTTTAAAAAAATTTCTTTAGTTGTTGGACACAATACCTTTATTTTATTTTTTTATTTTTATGTGGTGCTGAGGATCAAACCCAGGGCCTCGCATGAGCTAGGTGAACGCTCTACCACTGAGCCACAACCCGAGCCCCTCATTAGACTTCTGGAAGACTCAATACATGTTTTTTTGCTTTGTTCATTTTCTTCATTGTATGGTTTCTATTTTATTAATTTCTTATCTTTACTAATAATTTACTACCTTTGAATTTAATTTGCTGTTGTTTTTCTAACCTCTGATGCTTAATTCATTAAATTTAAATGTTTTCTTTTCCTAATATGTGTATGTAAGGCTCTAAATTTCTCTCTCACATAACTTTAGCTATTATCCATAAGGTTCCATCTAAAATATATTTATAGTTGGTGCACGCCTATAATCCTAACAGCTAAGGAGGCTGAGGAAAGAGATTAGAAATTCAAAACCAGCCTCAGTAAGGCCCTAAGCAACTTAGCAAGATCCTGACTCAAAATAAAAAAATTTTTAAAAAGGGTTGATAATGTGGCTCAGTGGTAAAACACAGCTCTAAGTTCACTTCCTAGTACCAAAAAGAAGAAATAGCTAAATAAATTAATAAAACATATCTATTATTATATTTCAATACAAAAATTTTCTAATTCTTCATTGATATTTACTCTTTCCAAACATACAGATTTGCCAGTTTTTTGTTATTAGTTTCCAGTGAAATTCAACTGTGATCAAAGAAATGTACTGATTTTTCAAAATGTACATGAATTATGATCTTAGGTTTAGATCATGTATCCTTCAGGTCAAGTTTGCTAATCTTGTTGCTCAAATTTTTCTAATTCCTTACTGATTTTTTTCTTGTACTTTTTTTTTGCAGGGGAAGGGTGCTGTGATTAAACACAGGGGCACTTTACCATTGAGCTATATCCCCAGCCCTTTTTGTTTTGAGACAGGGTCTTGCTAAGTTGCTGAAGGTCTTGCTATGTTGTCAAGGCTGACCTTGAATTTGTAGGATCCTCCAGTCACTGGAATTACAGGAATTGCCCCACTGCACCCAGCTTCTACATTTTCTGCATTTCCATCGGTTACTGAAAGAGGAATGCTAAAATTTCTCATTATGAGTATGGATTTGTCCACTCCTCCTTTTAATTCAGTCAACTGATTTTTAATATTTTTTTAATTTTTTTTAGTTGTAAATGGACACAATACATTTATTTATTTATTTTTATGTGGTGCTGAGGATCAAACCAGTGCATCACATGTGTTAAGTGAGTGCTCCACCACTGAGCCACAACCCCAGCCCCTGAGGTGTTATTAGAGACATATAATTTCAAATTTTATATATTCTTTGTAAAGTGAATCATTTACTATTTTTAAATTTCCCTCTTTTGCTGTTTTTTGTTTTAAAGTCTACTTTATCTGAAATAATTGTCAGCCATCTTTGTATTAATGTTTCAACCATTTCGTATATGTATAAATCATGCCTCTTGAAAGCAGCAAATTTGTTCTGATTTATAACCTCCTTGACATTATTACCGCCCTTTTTACTTTTTTCCATGTGGGGGATCATACCCAAGGCCTCGTATATGTATGCTAGGCAAACACTCTACCACTGTCTTTTTTTTTTTTTTTTTTTTTTTAGCATTAGGTGGACACAGTATCTTTATTTTTATGTGGTGCTGAGGATGGAACCCAGGGCTTCATGCATGCTAGGCGAGCATTCTACCACTGAGCCACAACACCAGCCCATACCACTGTCTTTTTATTGGAGTTTTCTCTTTATATTTAATATAATTACTAATATTTCAATTTCGAACTACTGTCTTAATATCTGCTATTTTTTTTACTTATGATTATTTTCTCTCCTATGCTCTTTATAGAATTTTTTCCCTCTATTAGCTGTGTTAATTATCCATTCATTTACTATTATTTTAATCCTACCCCTACAGCAGAGTATGATCATTGCCAAATCTAGCATTCTGATTTTGTAAATAATTTTATTGGAATACCGTCACACCCATTCGGTTACATATGTGTATGATAACTTTTTCCCTACAGCATCAGAGCTGAATAGTTGCAAGAGAGTTCCTAGGCAGGCTAAAATATTAACTATCTGAATTTTTACAGAAAGATTGTTAACCCTGGCCCTAGAGCTTAGAGCAAGCATTCTTGGTTTGACAAAAACTCAAAAAAAAAGTTAAAATTTCTACCTCTTGCCAAACAATGTACAGCCCTACAAGTCCTAAAAAATATGCTGGCCTCTAAGAATACAGTGAGGAATAAAACTGACTCAATCCCTTGTCCTATTGAGTTTACAGTGTATAGTAAAGAGATATCACTTGAGTTTTTCATAAAGGAGTATAAATTATGGAAGCAAACAGCTTCCCCTCAGTGTGTCCCTTCTTTGATAAGAAGCAATCAGTAAAGACTTGCTGCAAATTAACTCAAAGAAAGCATAAAGAATGTTCCAATAACCTACATCTTCTCCAGCCAGACTTCAATAATCTATTGCCTGTACTCCTAGGATAATATATCTTTTCAAATATCTCAGGCAGAAAAGAAGCATTTACTCATATGTTTAATGACAAACACTGAACATGGTGACTTAACTCAGCCTCTGTTCCCTCTTATTTATATAATTCTAAGATCCTTGTCATATTATTAATTATACATGAACAGCATCATGCTTTTTAAACCCAGACTTTCTAGAGCATCCAAAGGAAAAGGTGACCTTAAAAAAAAAAAAAATCAAACTTAAGGCTGGGGTTGTGGCTCAGTGGTAAAGCACTTAACTCACACATGTGAAATACTGGGTTCGATCCTCAGTACCACATAAAAAAGAAATCAAACTTAAATATTGAAGAAAGTAGAGCAGGACTATTATACTAAAATTAACCCTAAGAGTTTTTTTTCCCCCTGCTCTATTCCTCCATACGCCAAGATCTACTAAGTAATAGTAAATTATTACTCTGTAATAATAATTTTTAAATTGTCCTCCACGTGAATAGAGAAGAATTCATGGCTTTTGAAATAAGACAGACAGGTTTGAGTCCGACTCCTATACTTACAGTTGAGTTACTTAATCTTCCTGAACCTCAATTACTTACCTTCAAAATTGGATGAATCATAGAATACTAAAAAATAGTGTTAGTTTCCTCCCAAACCAAGATTTGGCCTCAGAATTCTGTGACACATAATTTATTTATAATTTATGTATCCTGCTTTCCCCAGAACACTGAACCTTCTTCCTATCTTCTTTAAAAATTTTCACTCCCTTTTCTTTCTACTAGCAGAATTTTCAAATCAGGCTCTGGTTTCTGGTTCTTAGACTAGCCATTAAATTTGTAAAAATTTCCCATCTGTTACCATTTATCTTCATTTGACAAATGTACTGAAGTCAAAAGGCCATTAAGATGTCAATCTTATCAACAATTCCCTTTACTGTGCACTCAAAATGTTTACTTAATCATTTAATGTCAATGAGGGGAAATACCTCTTCAGTCTCAAACCCTGGTAACCCCATCAAGCGTAATTTCAGAGGATTAGTATTAATAAGGAAAATGTTAGAGTCCAATATTTCAATCAAATACTGTATTTACAAAACAGAATTGTGCTCTAAGCGGATGTTCTAATGTATTAGTCCAAAGTAATTTTTGTCAAGCTAGAACAGAAGTGTGGAATACCTGTGAAATTTTAAAAGTTTGAATCAAAGTTCTAGACATTTCAATACTATAGATAATTGTGACAACTGAGACAAAGAGACAATACAGACAGAAAATGATTATTTGCTTTTATCCTTAAAAGTGGGAATCTTTTATACAGAAGTTCTACGTACCCATCCTTGCATTTTAAAAATTAGTAAGTGATACAGAAGTTCTACGTACCCATCCTTGCATTTTAAAAATTAGTAAGTGAACTCTCAAATAAATGGTACAAAGACCCCAATGTACAAAAAAAGAATGTACACATATATTGGAAATTTATTCTGAATATCATTTGTGATCACATTATAATAATATAGTTCTTATCCAAATGTTGTTGCAATAAGGTTTTAAGACATGCCAATAAAATACCTCTGTTTCCTATATGTTATTAATTAATGGCAGCATAATATATAAATAACATGACATTTTAAATTATATTAAGATACCATTAATTATTATAAGAAAAATAATGTTTTACTTTTCCTTAATTAAAACCTGGACATTGGCTGGGGGAGTGGCTCAGGGTACTACACTAGTACTGAGTTTAATACCCCAGCACCAACCCCCCCAAAAAAAAAGTAAATAAATAAAATAAATAAGGCCTAAACATTCAGTGTATGCTTTTAACTAAATCTCATTTTATTTTTACTCAATTCACATAAATTTTCTTCAATTATAAAAACTATTTCACTAATGCTGAAAAACTCTGGACCTTTTAATCCCCAATTCTCTCTGGTTTAATTCCCAAGAGTATATTTACTTTTTATTTACATGTTTTTTTCTTCCTAGAACTTAAGAATATCTTATACTAATTTCACAATATCACTACTGGACTATAATCAAAATAAGTACAGGCCACATGCCTATAATTCCAACAACTCCAGAGGCTGAGGTGAAAAAATTGCAAATTCAACGCTAGTCTCAGCAACTTAGCAATTCTGTCTCAAAATAAAAAATAAAAAAGGTGCCTGGCATAGTTGCACACACCTGTAATCTCACTGGCTCAGGAGGCTGCAGCAGGAAGATCATAAGTTTGAGGATATCCTCAGTAACTTAGTAAGGCCCTAAGTGACTTAGCAAGACCTTGTCTCAAAATAAAAAATTAAAAGGGCTGGGATGTAGCTCAGTAGTTAAGCATCCCTGGGTTTAATCCCTGATACCAAAAATCAATAAATAATTTTTAAAAGACTGGGGGTAAATGGGGCTGGGGTTGTTGCTCAGTGGTAGAATGCTTGCCTAGATGTGTGAGGCCCTAGGTTCAGATCTTAGTACCACATATAAATAAATAAAATAAAGGTACATTTACAACTAAAATAAACATATCTTTAAAAAAGGGAGGGGGCTGGGGGTAGAGCAACCTGGGTTAATCCCCAATAACACACACATACCAAAAAAAGGTGGGGGAGGAAAAAAAATAAGTAGAACTTAGTCAAGACAACAGTATGCTACTGAGGGAAGAAATTTACCATAATGATTAAAGTATAGGCTATGAAATTCTAGAGATACATATTTTAACTCTACCATTTAACAGATTGCTAACTAGATCTTAGAATAGATAGTATTCAATATTCACCTGCAGTGAGGCTTAAAACCTAATTCAGAGTCTACTGAGAAATAGAGAGGCTACTTACTGTTAACTGCAACCCATTCATTTAGATCTTCCCCCTCAGGAAGCATGACAGCCATTCTGAGGTTGCCACTGCCAAGTGTGGCTTCTGCATGCTTTAAGAGCTCATACTGGTGAGACCCCTCTGGGATGTTCTTCTTTGGTTTAAAAGTTTTGGAAGAGCGACTACCACTATGAAAAGAAAAAAAGACACTTCAATATTCAAGGCAAGACCTTCAATACAGTCTACTACCCTATATTACTGGACAAAAATAATAGAGGTTGCCGGGCACAGTGGCGCACATCTATAATCCCAGCAACTTGGGAGGCTGAGATAGGAGGATCGAAAGTTCAAACTAGCCTCAGCAAAAGCAAGGAGCTAAGCAACTCAGTGAGACCCTGTCTCTAAATAAAATATAATACAGGGCTGGGGATATGGCTCAGTGGTTGAGTGCCCCTGAGTTCAATCCCTGGTACCAAAAAGAAAGTGATCTTAAACATCCACATCCACAAATGAACAGCAAATATACCCTTATCTTCCCTCCCCACTCAGCATTTGACCTAAACTTATATCAGCCACATTAAATAATGGCAATAAAATTGCTGCAAATAATATGTTCTCTACTTAAAATAGCAACAAATTTTCTCTACATTCCCTAATCTAACTCCCAAGGAGGAAAAGACCTTTTAACTATAACTCAGCTACTCACAATAAATTAGTGACTCAGGATTACAGACTGCAATCTATAAAAACAGAAAAAGTACTTCCATGATAATCTGTACTCGTTTTATTCCTTTTTCATCTCCAATTCTTTCATTCTAATACAAATTTGTTTCTTTCTTATAAGAAACATAAATATGCAATTTTATATCAATAAAACACAAAAATTCTAGAGCAAGGAAAAAAGCTAAATATTTTTCTACCCAATTATAGAAAGCATCAGCCACCATCTTAATGCAGAACTCTGGCTAAAGGGTTAAGTAACTAAATATTAGTATGGCTTGTTTGCTCAAATTTATGAATGTGTATCTAGACACACACATAGTGCATGCATGTATACATATACATAGAATCGGCGTATCATATCCATGGTTTCTGCATCTGTGAATTTAACCAAACAATTGAAAATACTTGAGGGGCTGGGGTTGTGGCTCAGTGGTAGAGCGCCCGCCTCCCACGTGTGAGACCCTGGGTTCGAGCCTCAGCACCACATAAAAATAAATAAGTGAAATAAAGGTATTAAAAGAAAGAAAAAAGAAAATACTTGAGAAAAATTCCATCTGTACTGAACATGTAAAGACACATTTTTTGCCATTATTATCTAAACAATACAGCATAACAGTTATTTACACAACACTTACATTGTATCAGATATTATAAATACTCTAAAAGTATATTAGGCTGGGGTTGTGGCTCAGTGGTAGAGTGCTTGCCTGGTAGAGTGCATGTGTGAGGCACTGGGTTCACTCCTCAGCACCACACACAAAAAATAAATTAAAACTAATGTTATTTTTTTAAAAAGTATATATGTGGATGTAGACAGGTTATATGCAAATATTACACCATTTTAATAAAAGAAACTTAACCATCTGCAATTTTGTTATCTGAGAGGGATCCTGGGCCCAATCCCTAATGGATACCAAGGGATATATAAATATAATTAAGCCTTCCAAGCTTGAGGCTTATTTCATCTTCCTCCTCGTTCTCTCCTTTCATCAAATCTAGTATGAAAAACACTAAATTTAGTTAGTTAATTTATGTAAACAAATGTACTTCACCAGTCCATTTTATAAAAGATACCTTACTAATTTATGTGTGATCAATTACAAAAAATATCTTTCCTATGACTAATGTGGTATAAACCTTAACTGTACTCCCTTTAATTAACTCACCACTTGGATGGCTTGGATCCAGCAACTAAAGATGTGACAAGCAACTCTGAAAAGGGTTATTATAAATAGTACCCAAGAACCTCAAAGACATCAGCTATGCCAGTACTCAGGCAGGTCAGAGGCTCATCTGCCCCCCAAACCCTCTACTAATCAAATCTCTCTGTCCTCAAGTTTTAGGTTTCAGAATGCTTTTTTTGATCAATGCCTCTCTCTTGGGAGTAAATCTTTTACCAAATAGTAAAGATCTTATATTTTGGTAGAAAGAAAGGAAGAAAATAATCTGAGACTGATTTTATGAAGCCCAGCATTGACACATATAAGGCTATATTATCTCTGGCAAATTACCTATCTTTAACAGTGAAAGCCTAATAAAAATAACAAAACATCGCTAATACCTATATAATAGAAAAGTAGCAAAAGTGAAAAAATAACATGTAAAAAGCTTTTTTAAAATATTTTTCTTTTTAAATTGTAGTTGGTCACAATACCTTTATTTTATTTATTTATTTTTATGTGGTACTGAGGATCGAACCCAGTGCCTCTCATGTGCTAGGCAAGCGCTCTACCACTGAGCCACAAATCCAGCCCCATGAAAAGCTTTTAAAACTGTAAAATACTATGCAACTGTTAGTATTTTCATTACCTTCCCTTTTCTGAAATCAAAATAACTCAAAAAAAGAAAGAAAAGAAATAATAAGGCAATATACAAAGCTAGATTCAGCACCCAATCCCACCCCTATCCACTAAGAATAGATGGGGAAAAATATAACCATAATATGAAAACAAATAGCTTTTCATATATCAAGTTCAAAGCAGATTTTTTTTTTTAAATTCTGTTTTGTGTATATGTGTGTGTATTCTTCCTTACGCTCACTTGCATCATGATTCAAGTGACCTCAGAATAAGCTCAGGGCTATATTGGAAATCAAGGAAATAAAGGTCTATTTCTTCATTTTGCTATTTTCTTCCTCTGTTACATATGAAACCAAAAATTATCACCTGCTCTTCAATTTTTGTTTTGTTTTGTTTTTTAAAAGTCTGGAAAATGACTTTGTACATAATAGTATAATTTAGAGATGTTTTATAAAATGTTTTTAGTTCCTTGCAGACTCCTAATTCTTTCTTTTCTGTTCCTGTTTCTACATACATTCATACCTCCAAAATAAGTCCTCTACCTAATTCCCTCCCATCTAGAGGGAAATCTGACTTTTATGATTAATTCAGGCAGAATATCCTAACTTCAATACTTTTTAAAAGATATTCTTTTTAAAAACTATTATTAGACATTTTACTCAATTCTTATCTGCAGCTTCTCCTACCAGAATCTACCCTGCACTGGAAGGGGTGATCAATATTGCTCCTCATTCCCACCTCTAAAGACCAATGATAAAAGCCCTTAAGTTCAAAAGCACAAACAGCAAAGTATGGACACAAAAGTCTATCAATAAATGCAAGTTCTTATAGTAACAATGTATGGCAAAACGCATATATCTCACATAGCATTTTAAGATATATAAATGCAAACCTTCAAATAAATTTTCAAAAAAGTTGCCCTTTCACTCCACTCTCAGAAGAAATCACAGTTTTCAGTATCCTGTGTATCTTTGTAGAGTCCATGCCTATACAAGCATAAGAATGTTCATTTGCTATTACACTATTGTAGCCATACTGTAGTATATATACTAAACAGTGTTTTATACTTAATATATCTAGAAGATTGTTGTATACTAAGGTATAAGTAAATCTACCATATTCCTTCTAAATTCCTTCAGATTTTATACTATTTCTTACATGGATATATCATGGTTTAATTAGTCCCCTAATAATAAACATCTATGTTGTTTCTAGTCATTTGCTACTGCAAACAATTCTGCAGATGCAGGGTAAATTCCTAGACTTGGGGTGCTAAAGGGCATGTACACTTTTAAACTTTGTATCATGCTTATTCTTCCCCCAAGTAAATTACACCCTTTTAAAATTCCAATAACAAGTCCTAGAGCAGCTTATTTAGGGAGACAGGAATTAGATTGCTAATTTCTCTTTTCAGCCCCCAACACAGAATCAAAAGAATTTAGAACTTTCTGAATGAAATATGAATAATACAATCACTATATATAAGGAGTGTCAGGTTAATAGTTTATGGAATTATCCTGAAGCAATCACTTTCTAAATAAACATGCTATATACTCAGGTTTGTTTTCCCTGATCCACTTACGCCCATTTGAACGCAAAAAAATTGGGGGGATTAAGACAGGGTGGTTTTATCTAGTAAAGATCTCGGTCCTGCCAGGCGCAACAGTGCACACCTGTAATCCAAGCAGTTTAGAGGCTAAAGCAGGATTGCAAGTTCGAAGCCTGCATAAGCAACCTTGTGAGAACCTGTCTCAAATTAAAAAAAAAAAAAAAAAAAAAAGGATGCCGTTGTGGCCCAGTGGTTAAACACTCCTGGTCCAATCACTGGTATCAAAAAAAAAAAAAAAAAAGAATTCAGTCCTAGTAACAGTTTTGAACACATTTCTCTTATGGTCTTCCAATATGATTTACCTTTTCAAATTTCAACATTATTTATTTCCCCTTTGAGATTCTAAAGATATATTAAAGGGCTGGTGTTGTGGTTTAGTGTTTATCACGTGTGAGGCACTGGGTTCGATCCGCAGCACCACATAAAATAAATAAATAAATAAAGGTATTGCGTCCAACTACAACTAAAAAATAAATATTAAAAAAAAAGACAAGCCACAGACTAGCAGAAAAATCTCTATAAACCACATATAGTATATGATAAAAGACTTGTATTCAAAATATACAAAAAGCTCTTAAAATTCGAGAACAAGAAAAACAACCTATGGAGCCAACCTAGGTGTCCCTCAACAGATGAATCAATAAAGAAAATGTGGTGCTGGGCGCAGTGGCACACATCTGTAATCCCAGCAGCTGGGAAGGCTGAGACAGGAGGATTGCAAGTTCAAAGCCAGCCTCAGCAATTGTGAGGTGCTAAGCAACTCGGTGAGACCCTATCTCTATAATTAAATACAAAATAGGTCTGAGAATGTGGCTCAGTGGTCAAGTGTCCCAGGGTTCAATCCCTGCTCCAAAAATACGAAAAGAAAATGTGGTATATATACACAATAGAGTATTAGTTAGCCATAAAGAAAAATGACTTTATGACTTTTGCCATTAAATAGATGGATCTGGAGACTATCATGCTAAGTGAAATAACACAATCTCAAAAAACTAAAGGTCAAGGGGCTGGGATTGTGGCTCAGCGGTAGACGGCTCGCTCAGCATGTGAGGCCCTG